GAACACAAGCGAAATAGCTGAGCAAATTGCAGAATTTTGGCTACAAAACGCGACTTGACAAAACGCGAGTTCAAGCCATGTTTTGATGACTCGGGTTTTCAACTCTGTGCTTTTGGCCTCGCTTCAACTGCGACTTCCTTTATGATTGAGGCCGAACTAACTTTTGTGCAAAACACAAAAGTTTTAGTCCTTTGAATTATACAGTGCTTCAAGAATAATCCAAATCAGAGTTTTGTAGACTGAGATATGATCGAAATACTATCACCTGATCAAACCCCTATTTCAGTCTCGTCCATAGAATGCAGTTTCTGTATTTTGACTTTTTCACCAAGAAAACAATAGAATTGGACTTCGATTCTTCATACCAAATTTAGATCTCTCTCTTAGCTTCAAAATGGTGTAAAGATCACCTCAATCCGATATGTGTAGCTCCTGATATAGCCGAAATACCGAAGAGTGTCAAAACTGTCTTGAACTGCATTTCTTCAATTAAACATTTTTCACTTCATTTCTTCTTTATACACATCAATTCATCACTAATCTTCAGATTTCTTCTCAATTCATACCCTTTGATGATTGAATCATTGATCCTGCAAGAAAATAAAGTTTTTATCCTTAAAATCAATAGAAATGCAATGTTAGCTACTTTTAATAAAAAATGTATATTTTTACCAAAACCCTAATTACTTTAGTTCTAAACTAGATTAAACTACTGAAATTAACTGATAAAATACACTTAAAAACACTTAAAATATACTCTTATCAAACCTTCTAGCAAATACTTCTTTTATCCTTTGATTTTTTTTAACCTTTGTATATTAACCATCTTGTTCTCCCGACCATTGCCCACCCAAATCATGTATTCTCTTTTTTTATATCTATACCATAATAAATGGAGGGAGGTAGCAATTGGGATACATATTTTGTGTCATTTTTTAACTTCCAATTTTTTTCTTAAAATTTTGATTTTTATCCTAACCACCTAATCACATTGCTAATATAATCTCCCATAACTCCCTTAAATATTGTAACTATCAAATTAGCTATAATTGGATTAAAGAATGAATTACTAATAAATTGCAATTTTTTCAATGAAAAATTTATATAAAATTTAATTTTGTAAAAAATACTATTAATATATTCACAAAAATTAGTAATTATTTCTAATCTGCACACACATTGGGTGTGCTCTAAGCACTAGTATAAATACTTCTATTCCGATTAAGACTAAGAGTTTTTCTTAGACTTTTTTTTAGTGTAAGTGAGAGGTCTCAAATTCCTCTCAGTTACACTTCGTCTCCCATACCACCCAAGCCATCCCGCCCTTGATTATGTCTAAGAGTTAGCTTTGAACAATCTACTCTTTTCTATATTTCAACCATCCTTTTTAATACTTAATTTACTTCTTGTTTTAGTTAAAAACTTCTTGTGAAATTGTAAGCCACAGTCTACTAGTGATTTTTTTTTTTAGCGGATCTTTATAGTACATTATAGTTTAATCTATGGTACCCCCCTGGTGATGCCTCGAGAAATTTGAGGAAATGTGCAGGGATGCAACCTGAAATTTTAAGTTGAGGGGGCGAAACATTGACACCTAAATACTGACTCATTGTTTTTTGATTAAGCATACATGGATAATTTCAATGACAAAGAATGCATTCTGTACACTCCACTAGTTGAAACTCTACTTGAACTGACTTCCATCATTTCTTGCTCTATTTTCTTCTTTTTTATAAAGTCTTATGTTACTTATAAGACAAATCAATTCGTTTCCTTCTATTTGGATTTGAAAATGTTTTTCTGTTCAAATCTTAGTCACTGTTAATAAAGGGAGTGGACAAATCTTAGTACAAGCAAATTGAGAGCATTTGAAGGTATATTGATTATTGATCATGTTTTATTTCTATTTTTTCATGTATTTTGAATTAATTGGATATATTATTGTTAAAAAATTATTGGTTAATGTACTTTTTAATGAATTATTATTGGTTCATGTATAGTTTTAATGTTGTAGTCATGTGGATATTAAATTAACTTTAAAACTTAATAGTTATATTAATTATGTTAAGGAAATTAAGCAGCAATAAATGAGTTTGAACTAAATTCAAATTAGTCTCATAACTCGAATATTTTGTGAGCCAAATATGAATTTCACATTTATCAATCTAAAAACTCATAGGTTGAAACCCGAAGTGATACTAATTATATGAGTTAAATATGAATTTATTAAAATCCCGCTCAGATGGCCCAATTAACGGGCCTAATTAGGTCAAACCATGATTTTGATATGCACTTGAATTGTAACGAAACTGCAGTCACAGCACCGGCAATCTCGCAAGCACTTCCTCTAACAAATCCTCGAGAGAAGGCTGTAAATTGACATAATTGACATAGCTTTGTAATCTAATCTGGGACTTGGAGATCTTAAACTAGAAAAAAGGGGCCAAAAATTCTATATAACTAGTAGCAGCAAAAGATTTATAGTGATGGACTTAAATACTACAGAGCAGTATGATAACAATTCCAGAACCTTTGGTTTCGATTTAAAAATTGATGATTTCAGTTCTTTTGAAAGGTGGAAGCTAAATGGGCCCTTATAGAGATGGTTATAGTTATGATTTTTGAACTTCCAGTTCCAGTCCGATTTCAATTCTAATTTTATTTTAGTTATGGATTCGATTTCTTCTGATTTTGGTTCCGGTTCTTTTAATTATGTTTAAATACTTGTTATTATAAAATTAATTCTAAAAAATATGACAATGAGTGTAAAAACAAAGAGAGAGAGAGAGAGAGAGAGAGAGAGAGAGAGAGAGAGAGTTTTGTTATATTATCGTGTGCAAGGAAAAAGAGAATATCATACAAATTTTATGAAAAATATTTCATTATTGATTAGATTAGATTCGTCTTGAAGTTAGACTAGTTATAAGGTATAGACTTACTAATAGAATAGAACAATAGATTGTTGGGTTGGGTTTGGAATTGCTGTTATTAGGTGTTGACACATTGATATTAAACTCTAAACTGGCCAAATAAATTTAGATAGCAAATGTATTTTTGGATGGTTTGAATGGCTCTAAACTGTTGATTCCAATTCCGATTCAAACTATTGGTGAACATGAACCTAAACCTTTAGTCACGATTATGGTTCTTGTTCTAATTTCCAAAATTCGATTCCGATTCTAGTTTAAAAAATTGTCGGGCTAGTTCCAGTCCAAACCTAAACCAAGGGCATCCCTACTACAAAGTCCCAAATCTTGATCCTAGCAACTATCAGATTCCGATTTAGTTTGTAGGGATAATTTTGGAAACCTCCCTTGAGGTTTTTGACAATTTCACCTAGTTCCGTTGAGGTTTCAAAAATTACCTCCCTTTAAATTACCATTTTGGTAACAAAATTTGTTCAGTGGTCAAACTTTTGATCAAAATTTTGAATGAATAACCTAAAATCCCCTCATGAAATTATGAAATTCATTTTACTTTTTCTTAAAATTCTTTAAAATTTTGAAATATATACAACATCACAAAACCACTTTTAACCCTCATCTCTACTATTCTAAACCTTCCATATTTCCACATCCCAAATTAGTATCATTATCTCTATGACCATCTCCACTATTAGTCCCTAAATTCTAAAACCTCAAACTAAACGAAAAAAAAGATTAGCACTATTAAATTCAAAAAAATTTCTTCAATTGGATTAATATAACACCCTTTCTCTTAAATATTGGAGTATCAATGCTAGTCCTGTCCTTCTTAAAAATTCATCTCGCATCTTCTTCTATTTATCTCTAGATCCTCCAAAAAAAAACCATTTTGTCCCCCCAAACTTTGGGCGATAACCCACTTCAGTCCCTAAATTTCAAAATGGGACACTGAAGTCCCTAAACGTATAAATATCTCCCAATTAAGCAAAATCGTTGATAGAATTGTGAAAGTTGTCATGGTCAAAGAGTGTGTGAAACACATTCTGTTAATGAAGATTCGGGAATATTGGAACTGAAAAAGACAGGGACATAAACGTAATTTGTGTCATAAATTAAGGACAGACAAAGAAAAAAATTTGAAGTCCTCTGTCTTGGATATTGCTCATTTGTCTGTCTTGGATGAAAAAAATAGTGAGCAAAGTAATGGAGAAATAAACTCCGAAAAAAATTGAGAGGATATAGGTAGGATTGTCCAATCAAGGCTGAAAGACACTGAAGATTGCATTCATGGCAAGAAAGCAAGTCTGTATGAGAGAAAAAGCATCCCCGGCAAAACAACAAAAAGCAAAAGAGAAGATGAATACTAGTATGACAAAAAGATTTTGGAGCTTTTTATGTACAGTAATTTAATTGAATAATCGGAATTTGGGTAAGAACTATTAATATTTTGGTGTTTGCAGTACAAGTATGTTTTAAAACCGTAAGGATTGATGAAATTTTAAGGTTTTGGTATCTATGGTAGTGGAATGCATCTCCAAGTTTATATGTTTTGGATGGTAGTGCTAATGGTTCTCCATAATTTACTGAAAAGTTAGAGTTATGGGAACCCTAATGTTCCTTTTGTTGAAGACATTGTGATCCCAATGCTAAAAATTCTTTAAATAATTAATGATTTATTTTTTGATTTAATCAGAGTGTGGTCCAGATGACATTCGGGCTAAACCATTTTCTTTGGCAATATACCATCAGGGTGAGTTTACAAACTCTCCCAGCAAAGAATATGTGGGGTGGGGGGGAGGGGAAGGATGGACTACACAGACAACTGTAATCCTAAAACATGGTCACTACAAGTGCTTGATAGATGTGTAGTAAAACGAGGATACTCGAAAGATGCTGGTTTTGGGTGGTATGGTAGGCTTCCTAGTATGCCACTTGAAACAAGACTATATTATTGCATGTGTGATTGGGACTGTGATCTACTTGTAAACACTTTGCCACGTAATAGAGTGGAAGAGGTTTATCTATTGGTTGGAACTGATGATAATCTGGTGAGGCTTCAAACTCAAAACATAGAGCATGAAGCCATGCCTGAAAGGCCACAATACTTCTTCAAAGCAGGCTGCAAAAAAGAAAAAAAAAACATCTGAAATGGATAGTGAAGTTGCAATACTCAAAGAGGTTGACTTCAACGATGTGGACAACACAAGGAAAAATATGGCTGCTAAGATGGCAACTAACAGTGAACAAGTGGCTAATAACATGGCAACTAAAAGTGAGTAGGTGGCTGCTGACATGGCAACAAACAGTAATGAAGTTGCTACAAACATGTGTGACTCCTTTAATGATGTGGTTGACCACATGGCATCAAAAGAGGATTTTGATTCCAAAAGTCCTAAAGTGTAACAAGAGAAGGACAACAAGGGAGATAATGTTGTAGAAGAACCACAAAAGGCAACTGGCGTGAATAATAGGGGAAGCAAAACAGCAATAGGAGACAATAGAGAAGAAGAAGCTGAAAATGATGTGTAGGCTGATGACAAGTTCGATGATCTAGATTATACAGGGCAACCTGAAGAGAGTGCTTTATTTGATGAAGTGTGACACCCCCACCTCTCCCTAAGGCGAGCCCTAGGGTATCAGCGGGGCGCCTGCCCAACTCTCGTCAGGACTTACGTACTCATTTTAGATTAATAGAGGTCCATAAGCCAACCATAGACTTAGGATTAAAGAAATACTTTGAATATACAAGTCAAATTCTTCTAGGGCTACCATCTACTATTACAATCCAAAATTCCAAATATGACAAAGTTTACACTTCAATTGTCTCAAATGTCATACAGGAGGTTTACTAGTTTCAACCAAAAACCGCTAGTCTAGAGCTTCACAACTTCCACTTTCAAAACTTGTTAAGGAATAACAACTTAGGGTGAGCCAACGCTCAATGAGGCTAAGAAAATCAAGCAAGCAAGTAGCACACTCAAAAGTGAGTTAACATGAATTTCATATAGGTGAGCAGTAGGAAGTAATACACAAGTAAAAAGAATATAGGAGCTCTTAGGAGCTATTCCCACGTCACGGCCGGTTCAAGCCATTTTTGGTTGACCCTCCATCAACTCAAGTAGCAACATGCCCGTAGCTCCACTTACTTCCTCCATCCACCATATCACCCTCTCGAATCCGGAACCAAACAAGCACGAGGTGGCAATACTATTCGAGTATGCCAAGCAAGATCTAAAAAAATTAACCTATAAAATTTTCCATGGTTCACAAGCTTCTCAATCAAGCCCTTGCCGGCTCAAGTTACGAGGTTAGCTAATGGGTTGGGGCATCCCCACAAGTATAATTGGTCGATGAGACAACGTTCCAATCGATTGAGAATCGATCATAGCACTGAATCAGAATGAGAGGTACCTCACGAGCTAATAGCATGTTCGAGTACAAGTACAAATCATACAAATTCATATAACAAGTAGCGAATATTCGAGAGGGAGAGGACGAGAACGATAAAGTACACTCTCGCCTCGACAAGTTTACAAATCACAAGAATCATATAGCACTTATACAAGTATCGTTTCACTCAAAGTAACATGAAGCATGCATTTGACGATCACCAAAGTCAAGAGCAAAGCGAGAGCAAAAGCAAGAGGTCAAACGATCTCCTTGGTGTCTACTTGATCATCTGAGACATGCACAATCACGGTTATCTAAGTATTCGACACGACTAATAAAAATAATTTCGATGCTACCCACACTCAAGAGTCTCAAGCTCAAGTCAAATTAAAAGAGAAACTTTCACACTTAATCACTGAAATAATACTCAAGGAGGACTCAAAAGTTTCATTTTCGAATCAAGTCGTGGCAAGGACTTTCGATTTCAAAAAGGAAGTACAACGCTTAATTTTGGGCATGAAAATCGAGGAAGGAAAAAAATGCTTTCATATTTTAAAACTTCTAATCTTATGCCCAAGTTTTAGAATATAAGTGAGCGTTCACGTTTTCTAAACTTACGAAGTCAAAATCCATCAAAAGCATCACTTATTACATAGTAAATATTAGAGCTAAAAATTCCAAGTTTCAAATATGAAACTAGTGAAATTCCTCAAAAATTACTCTAGCTAAAATGCTCAATTTATGGTTCATTTTCACGGAAACCGAGGGTGTAAGATTAGGAGGTGAAAAATTTTATTTCGGAATCAAAAGAAACGAACTAGTTTCGTTTGAAGCTTGGCCAACTTCCTGACAGATTGTCGAGCCTATGCAATAATAAAAACCTAACTACAACCACAAGCAGTCACCAATCAATTCCAAGTATTGGAGTAGGGACTCTGAATATACAATGGGTTACTTGATTCATCCTGATTCCGAAGAATTAGCTTAATCCGATATACCAGAATTGACTAACTTACAGAAAATTATTAACTCGTAGACAGTAGCAAGTAGGGTCGAATCCACAGGAATTGGGGATAATTCGTTTCTTCTAGAGTTCAGAATAAGGGGGATTTTTAGAAAATATAAAATAACTAATTAACCGACTAATAAAACAACTAATAGAAATAAACAGAAATTAATCAATAACCAATACGACTCTAGTCCAAGGTGAAATTTTTCAGACACGGTCTATTCAACTGATCATCGATGCAAAGATAATTCAATTACTCATTACTAGATTGATTATAGTTGACATACATGCGATAAACAACCAACATTTCCTTACTTTTCGATAGTTAAGGTACGAACGTTAATTATTTCTCTAACTAAGAAATAATCCGAGGTATGATCGTAGGATTTAATTCCACGATTGCATTAAAAATCAGAAAAGTCCAATCCTAACTAACAAATACGCTACAAGAGTTTGTTTAAATTAGATCATACGTTTCCCTAACAAGAAACCAATCACGCTAGTCGCCACTAGTATTAATTAATTGAACAATTACGGATTCAATTACTTAATCTGGCAGTATATTATTAGGTTAATTCGAATATCGGGCTCTTGACATTCAAATAACATAACAAGCATAAGAAATTAAATCAGAAAGCGTACAAATACCAATGAATAAAAGAAATAAATAAAATAATTCGATCTCACAGATGTTTGGAACCGAATCTTCAAATTGACCCTAGACTAGAAAACGGAGATTTAGTTCTTCATTATTGAGAAAATCGCTAACGCGATGCTATGGGAAAGGGTCAAAAATCCCCGGCTCCTCCAAGAGCTCCTAAAATCCAGTCTATCACCAAAATACGGAAAGTTAGCAGCCATAAACTATATATAAAAAAATAAGAGAAAATAAAATGAATAAAAGAATGAAAACAAGATGAACTCAAAAAGAAACAAATTTATCAGGTACCAGGTTATCGAGCCTGTGCAATAATAAAAATCTAACTACACCAAAAGCAGTCACCAATCAATTCCAGGTACTGGAACAGGGACTCTGGATGTGCAATGGGTTACTTGATTCACCATGGTTCCGAAAAGTATACCAGAATTGACTAACTAACAGAAAATTAATAACTTGTAGACAGTGACAAGTAGGGTCGAATCCACAGGAATTGAGGATAATTCGTTTCTTTTAGAGTTCAGAATAAGGGGATTTTTAGAAAATATAAAATGACTAATTAACCAACTAATAAAACAACTAATAGAAATAAACAGAAATTAATCAATAACTAATACGACTCTAGCCAAAAGTGCAACTTTTCAGATACGGTCTATTCAACTGATCATCAATGCAAAGATAATTCAATTACTCATTACTAGATTGGTTATAGTGGTCATACACGCGATAAACAACCAACATTTCCTTACTTTTTCGATAGTTAAGGTACGATCGTTAACTATTTCTCTAACCAAGAAATAACCCTAAGTACGACCATAGGATTTAATTCTTTGATTGCATTAAGAATCATAAAAGCCCAACCCTAACCAACAAACACGCTACGAGGGTTTGTTTAAATTAGATCATACGTTTCCCTAACAAGAAACCAATCACGCTAGTCGCCACTGGTATTAATTAATTGAACAATTACGGATTCAATTACTTAATCTGGCAGTATATTATTAGGTTAATTCGAATATCGGGCTCTTGACATTCAAATAACATAACAAGCATAAGAAATTAAATCAGAAAGCGTACAAATACCAATGAATAAAAGAAATAAGTAAAATAATTCGATCTCATAGATGTTTGGAACCGAATCCTCAAAATTGACTCTCGAGTAGAAAACGGAGATTTAGTTCTTCACTATCGAGCTCCTCCCAAGAGCTCCTCTTACATCTCTGTAGCCAGCTGACTCTTTTTTCTCTAAGAAGTAGTAATCAAACGGGAGCCGGCATTTTCTTTCCTATTTTTTAGTTTTCAAAATACATTGAACTTCCTAATTTTCCTCAAAAGAAGATATTTTCTAATAATCTAAGATGTTTCCCAACTGTATTTGGAAACATGTTTCGTAAGTCTTCGGCTTGAATTACGAAATTGCCATGCGTGAATCCCGTCTTCTCTGGGCTTGACAGTAATTCTTGAAAAATTACCCTTTTTAACCATGTTTTGCTCCTTTTCCTATAATTAGTACCATTAACCAACTATAAGTAGAATCCATCAATTAAAACAATATTTGGTTAAAATCAAGGAGAAAATAATTATAAAGTCAGCAACAAATTATGACCTATCACTTCCAAACAATCAAGCTTTCCAATCCAAGTCAAGAGAAATCTCATGTGCTTGGTAAAATCCATTTCCCAAGTATGAAATGGGGTGCAAATAATCAAAAAGGTTAGGCTTGAACCCAGAAAATGTTTCCAAGCCATTTTTGAGCTTTTGTCACTTTGTAAGGAGAATTTCAATTTTTGAAACGTTCTTTGAAAAATCATCACTTGAGTTCCATAAGTCCAAAAATCGTAAATCTTATACTGTTGAAAATAGATTCAATGAACTAAAACTCTCTACAAGACACTTCTGCTAGATTCAAATCAGAAACTATTCAAATTTTAGTTCCAAATTGCTACTTCAGTAAAAATAGGGCAAAACAGTCTTGAATTTTAGTGAAATTTGAAAATTTATCAAAATTCATAAGAATCGAACTAACCCCTGAAATTTATACCACTGAAAGAACTTCAAGTTTAGTTTCAAACGCAACAAACGGAACTCAATTTGAATTTTTCTGCACCAAGATACAATAGTGTTTCGAAAGCTGGTTTTTAAAATCTGAAATACGAAATTCCAGCAAACCCACTTGTGAAACCTTTCTTTTTTCCTTTCGTTTAAAGGCAGCTTAATTTTTACAATCAAGGTGCATCTAAGGCCATTGTTTTAGCAATATTTTAGCTCAAGAAGAGGCTCCAAAAACTGAAATTTTCTGCTTAAACTTTCAGCCATGAATATGGCTCAAAACCAGAATTTTTTTTGAGCTCTAAGTTGGAGCTAAATTGGGCTTTTAAAACCAGAAATTTTAGTACATCGTTGGAATTAAAATGAAACTCTAAAACCTGGAATTTTTTCGTCAAAGTCTCGGCCAACACGAGGCTTTAAAACCTGAAATTTTATCTATCATTTTCAACCAAAATAATGGCTCAAAAATTGAAATTTTTAGCCTCAATATTCGGCCAACTAGTGGCCTTGAAAAACTGAAATTTTCTTGCATATTTGGGTCAACAAGGAAGGTGAAAATTAAAAATTTTCCACCAAGATTCAAGCATTATAACTCACTTTTCATGCCCCCAAAACAACCAACAAAGCATAACCTTGCAAGCTAGTAAAGAGGTAAAATCAAGCCATCAAGCAAGCCAAGAATCCATGCTATATCACATGATCATCCAACCAAATAAACATATGATCTCTCAAGGCATCTTCCTAAGAGCAAGTTAAGAAAGCAAGAAAATCCTCAAGACATGCTACCTAATATCAAGATTCATAGAACCCTTCAACAACCCCAAGTATATCTAGCTAAAATTAGCTAATGGATGAAAGAAAGATTGGAGCTTGGAGAGGTTACCTTCTTCTAAGGATAGCAAGCAAGACCTCAAGAAATTAAGCACTAAACCTCAAGAATCTTCCTTCCACCAAGTCTTCTACCAAGCTTGAAGATGATCCAAGGTGTGAGCAAGGTTGGGAGCAAGATTAGTGAGCAAGATTGAGAGGAAGAGGATGAAATTTTTCTTAGTAAGGGAGAAGGGAGGTTCGGCCATGGAGAGGAAGAGAGAGTGTGTGTGTTTATGTGATTTTTGTGAAGTGAAATGGTGAAAGAGAGAAGTGGCATAAAGCCAACTTTTATGGTGCAAAAGTCAACATTTGAATAGTGGTCCATTAATTCTCCTAATTGAGTTTAACTCAAATCACTCACCTTTTAATCTCTCAATTAACTTTTCTTAGTCTACAATTGATCATCCATAACTCTCCAAGACTACTACACTTTCAGACCAAATATTGGCCTCAAAAAGCGTGCTTTCTCAAATTTTCACTAATTGGGCGACAGAAAAATTAAGTTTAAGAGCAACGTGTTTTAAAAAAAAATAAAATGAGGCAATGTACAATGCTGATGCAATTAAATATATAAATAGATAGGCCAGTAAAAAAATTTCGGAACCTCACATGAAGCTTGAAAATTGGACAACAGTTTGGTGTAGATAAAAGAGCTCCTAAAGCTGGGCATTCTATCAGCAATGACCAAGAAAGAAAAAGACAGGTAGAAAAAGAGAAGCACCCATTGAAATAAATGTTGTGATGATCCTAACATGGTTAATATAGAGGATACGCAATTAGAATATGAATCAGATTGTTCTAGAGAGTTGAAGAGTGAGAGTGAATTTGAAGATGAAGATGGTTGCAGGAGGAATAAAAAGACTAAATTTGCTGTTTTCAATGAGAAAACTGATATGAGAATTCCAAATTTTAAAGTAGGCAGAGGTTTTCATCAGTTATTATTTTCAGGTTGACTGTTAGAATCCAGGCCATTATGGAGAGGAAGAGATGTCCACTTCATAATAAATGACACATAATTGATTTAATGATTTATGCAAGAGTTATATACCATAATTTGTATTTGGATACACATTATTTGGAAAAACCTTTCTTTTTTCACATACTTCAAATAGGGATGGAACTAGAGACAGGGAAGGCCCTCACTCCTCAAGTTTTATAAAATCTAATTTTTCTCCTTTTATAAAATTAAAAATTTTCAAAAACACTCTTTATAAATTTAAACTCTCACCACCCCTCTCCCGACAAAAATTTTAAAATATTTTAGGTTGTATGTTTAAGTTTTGATATATTAAAAATTTCCCTTCAACATATATACTTTAGTTCCATCTATGACTTCAAGCACGTTTGTCCGTCAACTTTCATTTTCTCGGATCATGATTTTATTTTGCATACAATACATCACCACAAATTAAAAAAAAAGGCTATGGGTCGTGGAATTAAAAGATTTTCCCAAATAATCAATATTATCTTTCACGGATAATTAACAAAGAAAAAAATGCCTACTGATTGTAGTTTAGAGGTTAAAGTACTATACTAAAGCGATATGGACTTATGTAAGCCATTGTTTATGCCAATAATTGGCTTGTAATCTTATTCAAAGAAACCACCAATATAGGTCAGTTCAACGAGAGCTTGTGCGGCAACTAAAGCCGCTACAACGGCAATTGGCCAAATCCCAACATAGGAAAGTAGGTCCTCTCTTTCCCAATTCCGCAAGGAATCACTTTCCAAAGTACATCAAACCACAGTTACCATTTAGTAGGAAGGTTAATTCTTTTATAATTACTAGTACAGTAAAGAAAGGAAGAACATTTAGTTTATTCTTGATAAGTTGAATTCTCAGTGTTTATTTTTCGATTAAGCAAGTGTTCTCGAGTTTTTGTTGATTCTTGAAAAAGGTTTTCAATTCCAGTCGTTGAAAACTCAAAGAAGGAAGAATTGAATAAAGAGATGGGGAAGAGCAGTAGTAATGATGATGAACGCCGTCTTGATTATTCGGGTATTGAACTGTACCCGAACTGGGGTAAATTTTGATATCTTGGTTGCAGTTGCGGAAGTAGAGAGGATCAGATTGGAGGAGGAGGAAAAAGAAAGGAAACTCAGGCGAAATCTTTCCACTTTCTTGAAACTTCTTGCTGAAAAAGAACAGAGGAATCATCAATGGACAATGGTTTTGCTGGTAAAATTGAAGTCAATTTCACAAAAGGGAAAAGATCGTTCAGAAGGAAGACTGGCTCCAACCACACATTATTGTCCGAGGAACTTCCTTTCAGCAATATCCCAGTTTGATTTTGAAGACAAAACATCAAGAAGATGTGGCAATCACGTTCTGTTCTCGTATGGGGATATAATCAGAAACCCCAATCGAAGAGACTGAGATCACCCAGCGAAGAAAATAGTACTGATCATCAAGAAATAGAGATGCCGCGTTCCAAGAAAGCAAAAAGTAAGCCTGGATATCCTGATGGACCATCAAAATCAACTATCAGTACCATTCCAGAGAAATTCAAGAACAGAATTTTGGAATTTGGGTTCAGAGGAAAGCATTGTATTTGTGTTTCAAAGTGTTAACAGACACTGATGTGAACACGCATTTCAGTAGGCTGCTGGTGCCATTTAAGCAGATCAAGAGTGGGTTTCTGACTCCTGAGGAGCAGGCTCGTTTTTGGGATCCTAACCAGAAGTTTGGAATTGATGCCATTTTTGTTGATCCATCCCTTGATGAAGGTAGAATGAACCTGAGACGATGGGAGATGGGTAAAAAAGATGGTAAAATAAGTTACAACTTTGCATTGATCTCTAACTGGATTAAGGTTGTGGCGAAGAATGAACTGAGACAACTGTGGGCATTTAGGAGGGATTTACAGCTTGGATTTGCTTTAATTTTAGTTTGATTTAGAATTTTTCTAATTTTGCACTTAGTCTAGTTTTTCATTAGAGTCTAGTGAATTAAGGACATTTAGTTTGACAGAGTATTGTCTATTAGCCTTCCTTCACTAATTTTAATTATACATATTCGTTCTTGCTTTTGTATTGGTCAAAGAATGTTGATTTTGTTTGTAAAGAGTTAGAAAAAAAAATTGATGCAAATGAAGTATACAAGTAATAGTTTGATATTGGGTTCTCAGCATTTTAAATTGATTATTTTGGCCTCGCTTTTGTCACTGTTCTTGAAAAGAGCTCAGTATAGTAATCCCCATATAGTATAATTATTTCATCATCGCTTTGTCCCCAAGATTCAAGGTCAAGCGTTATTGTTTTGCTTCCCTTTAGCATATAATCCATATACTACTTTTTTTTTTCCTGCTTTCTGCTATCTCCCATCATTTAACATGCTTAGACTAATTTTTTAACGGTACCTCAATCTTCTCTTTCTTGCACTATTGTTTTTTCAGTTTTTATATTGTGTTTTCTATTAACAATTTTTTTCCGGCGAAACGAGAGGAATTTACCTCTAAATTCCATTGATTAAACAAGAAATAGTAGATAGACGGGGATGAAAACCAAAACTTTCCGTAAAATGCAAGAGTAGATTGATTTCAAAGAAGGGAATCCTAATCTGTTAGTACTGTTTATCTGACCTCTAATGTAAAGGTCTGGAAATGAATTATAATCCTCAGAGGATGCTTTCAGCCAACAATAGATATATAGCATGTTTGCGGGGCTGTTGGCTTGTTGTAGGCAATGAGAAACAGAAACAGAGGGTACAAAGCAAGTTTTCACAATGTAATGTATTCAGATGCCAAATAGTAGCATGTATTACTGAGTACCTAAAAGAATTTCCAAGATTCAAGATACATACCACGGTAAGAAATGTTTACTTTTTCAATAATTTGGCATATACTCATACAACTTTGTTATATTTTATAATGTACAATAAAAAGTTGCATGAATGTACACCAAATCAATAAAGTTTGTGCTGTTTCCCGCATTTGATCAAATTTATTCATTTACTATTTTCAAAGTAATTTTAATTTGTACATCATCTTTGACATCATTTTCATGGAAGTCCAACTCAGTTTAATCGTTTTCCCACCTATGACATTTCGGAATTGAAATAACTTCAGGCTTATTGGTGCTTGTTAGTTTGTGGTTAATTAAGTGCATTTTTAGCTTCACAATTAACATTTATTTCAATGATATGAAGCTAGTTCCAGGCACTGCAACAAATTAAATTTTGTTTGATTTGACTGATAAGTTTATCCATGAAGAAGATTAAACAATAATAACATTCTTTACAATAGTTTTTGGTGGAAAGGGATAGACAATTAGGAACTACGAATATCCCCCATTTTTATGTTTCAGGCTAATTTTTGCAAGTTAGAACAAATCCACTTTGTTTAATTACCGATTAATAACGACCACAAAAATTTGGGATCAATCCCACTATAATGTCATTTCGCTTATTATATTTCCATGCCTAGAGATTGTATGACTAGGGAACACTTCCATCATTATCTGAAATGTCATCCATCATTATCAATCCCACTAATGCATGTTTTAAGCTTTAAGAAGTTTAAAGAACAAAGGTGATGCAAGAATCCGGTTACAACCATATCTGAAATGTCATCCGGCTTCCCTAACCTGAAGTTGATTACTGGCTCAAGAGTTTGATGAATTATTGGAGAAGTCACAGATAAAACGGTAAAAACCTCCTTAAAAACCTGACTAACTATAATAGACCAGTTCTTTACTTGAAGGTGAAAAGCAATAGCTCGTTCATGAATCTCGGTCTTAAATTTTCGTTGGCACAAGTATTAGGACCATAAATATACCAATAGCCGACATATAGTGATATAATATTTGTTCTTGGTTCACTATTTTACCTGATTATGGATTTTGATTTTAAATAATTGATTTTTATAATATTCTCGTCTGCTTTGTATTCAGAATATATATTTTTTAATAATTAAAAAAATTAAAATTCATAATCATTTAAGAAATAACTTTTACTGATTTTGATATATTACTTCCTATAATCAGATTTTACAAAATCTAAAGCAAATGAAAACAAGGCCATAGTGTCGTGGGATTCATATTACACTTGTCAAGGTAAATTTTCCTGTCCAAGTAAAATTTTGGGGCTTCAGGTGTACTTTGTCAATGGGCGTAAGGCGGACCTGCCTGGAAGAGCCTGGAAGTTACAACGTGTAAGACATCAAGACGTTCTGGTTGCCATCCATATTATTCGACCTAATCATTCATTAAAATTAAAATATATTAATTGACCAACAATTTGGTTTTGAAGCAAGGAGCAAGAAAATTTAAACTAGTTTCCCTGCATCTTATGGTTCTTTATTGTGGTAATTTTTAGAAAGACTGGGTTATTAAGCTATGTAATAAATTAGAGTGTTTGTAATTGCTCAAACTTAATCCATCTCCACCTATACCTTAAGTCTTATTTGTTGAGAGCGCATTAAAATTTTATAGCTAGGCTGTTATACCAAACTCCATGCTTCAAACCAACACCTTTGCCAGTTAGAACTATGGTACATTTAATTTTCTGTATCACTTGTTGCTTATGGTTCATTTTACTGACCATGATATTAATTTTGTCTTATTCTGACAATAATGTAAAAATGTATTTTTTATGGAGGATGTAACTTCCAAATATGCTACATTGTGTAACGCAAAGACAAACGTAAAGTGATATGTTTATCCTTCCCTACCATTATATTGACTTGCTCCATCCATACATACATATATAATTTGTTGGGGACATAAAATTGAACTAAACGTATCTGTGAAGCATTTTTCGCTTCATTTTGGTCTATTTAAGTGACAATAGATTAGAAACAAACTAAACCAATTAATTCTTCACAGGGATTTTCCCCTTCAAATCAAGAAAAAAAATGAAAAAAGAAAGAAGCTATACACTGATCATGTACTCATTCGTTTATCACTGTTCTCACTTCTTTTTTGACAACGATTCGCTGGCCCATGTGGAGTACTCGTGAAGATTTCTCAAAATGGCACTGACCCACCTAGCACATGCATATGAAGCTATCGAGCTTCAACTTTTCAACAAGCTCTAGGGAGAAAAGAAATCACAAATTCTCCTAATTCTCCTTTTTTTAACTGTTATGATGACATTAATTGACAAGAATCTTGAAAATATGTGTTCAGATCAATGTTGTAAAAACCGGATCGTTAATTGAATCGGTGAAGTGAAAGAGTCGAGATTCAACCGGTCGAACCGGTTCAACCCCGGTTCAATGAATTTTTTAAAAAATAATTTATTTAAATATATATATGCACAAAATAAGACATGTAATGGACTAATTTAATACTTTATATGATGAAAAGTTTACTATTTTTTAATAACTTGGATTTTTAAAAATAAATTTTTTAAATTATAAGTTAAAACAAATAAATTTCATCTCAATTTCATTTATATCTAAATCCAACCCAAAAAAATCACAATATTTTGAAATTATACAAAATTCACGTCTATGAGAATTTAGATATTGTGAACTTAAATTTTAATTTACGTTTTGGGATTTAGAGATTGCAATTTAAAACAGGAAGTTTGGAGTTCAAAGGAAGTCAAGAGAATCGAAAATAGAACTGTAAACTTGATAAGAAACAAAAAATGAGATAAAAGTGAATGGTTGTGGTATTAAATAATTTGGGTTAAAGAAAAATAATTCTTTTTTAACTTTTTTCAATTTAATGGACAAAAACAAAATTAAAAGATGGAATAAAACATCAATAAATTAAAAATAAAGAGGTTTGATTAAAAAGGGAGTGTGATAGGGTGTTAATTGTTAGTTATTTTATTGTTAATTTTCCTATTTGTCTTTGCCAAATATCGTTTTAATGGTTAACATATACTTATATTTGGTATTTGGATCTATCTACAGGAAGTGGAAATGAAAAATGCTAAAAAGAGGGATCTTCTTAGGAAAAATACTCCACACGTGGGAAGTTTCTAAAAGAAAATACAAGCTGGGCTCCACGGGGTGATACAAACGGATCTCCTATCTTTTTGCTGATGAGGAGTTGAATTGCACTAGGAATCCTATTAGTAATAGGAAACGGAAAAGAAGGGACTTTAGGTAGTAGTTACTTCGTTCTTTTCGGCGGATGTACCAGACAGCCCGAGATTTGCTTTTTTGTTCCTTTCTTCGTTCTTTTCCATTAATCTCGACAGGAGCATAATTTTTATGCTCTTTGACTATTCGAAAAGGATGCCTCTGCAATCAATTAAATTGCATGAAAATTTATTTGTGCGGCGTGGCTAAACCTTTCATCTAGTCAAGGATCAATTCAACGGCGCAGTCCCGAATATCTGTGAGATCTAATTAGTTTTCATGCGTTTTTTAATTTGTTATTATTTGCACGTTGTCTATTTAAATTTTCATGGGATTATTTTGTTAGTTGGATGTCAATGGTCCGATGTTCAATGTGACTTATTAATCTCCTGCCAAATTAGTCAATTAAATCCGTAATTGTTTGATTGATTAATATTAGTGGCAACTGGCGTGTTTACACACTAGGGGAACGTGCAATCTAATTTAAATAACCCTCATAGCGTGTTATTGATTGGAGTTAGGTTTTTCTAGATCTCAATGCAATTAGGAAATTAATTCCTACGGTCGTACCTAGGAGTATTTTCTGGTTAGGAGTAACCAATGGTCGTACTTTGGTTATCAATAAATTAAGAAAAAATTAGTCATTAGAATTCGTCAGCGACTATAACTAGCCTATTAATAAATTAAGTGAACCTCTCTTGAATCAATGATCGGGTAAGTGGACTGTGTCTAAGTAGTTGTATCCTTGGTTAGAATTTATCTATTCTTGATTTAATTCCTGTTATTTTCGTGCTACTTAATTATTTATTTTAGTTGAATTGCTTAATTGTTTTTAGTTTCATTCCGATAAAATCCCCCTT